GCCAGGAGAGGTGAAGATTATCTGCATGAGCTGTATCATGTCCTTATCAGCTTCCCCAGGGCACAGAGCCCTTCCTCTTTCTTAGAGCACAGAAGAGGCTGACGAAATAAATCCTGGTGGAGTTAAAGAAAAATAAAGAGCTCCTCTAGAAAGAGTTCATTAATTATTGCTGTGTTGAGACAAATAGAACTGGAGATACGTACTGCATAAGGTTTCGGTTTAAGATGTTTTATATAACTTGAACACCGGTAAAGCACAGAGCAGCAAGTCAATGTGCAGCAAACGCAGACAGTTTTTACCTTTTCTGTGTAGTAGATTTATAGCAGGGAAGGGCAAGAGGAGAGCAGTGCGAGGATGTGGTGAGCTCGGTGGCATGCAGTGTAGAGGAGGCTTGGTAGTGGAGCAGGAGCTTTTCTTCCCAACCTGCAGTGCTTGGGGTGCATTTCCAGACTCATTTCTTCCATTCCCAATAGATTGTGCTGGGGCGATGCTGGGTCTGGGATGCTGAGGGAGCATCCTAGCTAGATACTGCTCCAGTTAGCAGTGCGGGTCAGGAGGAAGATTTGAGGGCAAGAAACCAAAGTGACTCGTGCTCAGTTCTTGTAAAAGCACATCATGTCCATGCAGAGACCAGGTCCTACTGTCACACATTTAAAGCCGTTCCTACAGTCATCTTGCCTGTTGACACCCTATATCTAAATGTTCAAAAATACTCTCTGATGTGAAAGATATATTTAGGAGACCTGAAATGAAAGACTTTTAGGTAGTGGGGCTCCAGTGCTTTTTAAGAGTGCTGCCCATAGGGAGTCTGCATGAGGAGCTGGTTAGAACTTAACTTCTCTCCCTTTGGCAGATGAAGGGCAAGACCTGGGTGCCATTGCTGAGTTTTGAGTGACTTGAGCTCTGTAACACTAACTTCAGCCATTTATGGACAATTTGTGGTGGATGAACACTACCATCATGCTTTTATCCATGGGGCATTTCCTAACCATTATCCCATTCAAATGAAGCTTATAGAAGGCAGATGTATCTGTCTGTCAATCATACAAATGTATATATACATCAGTTCAGGGTGTTTGGTAAAGGGCTCGCGTGCCTGTAATGTGACGCCCTGAAAATCAGTTTGATTTGTCACAGTGCTGATTTGTTTGGCAGATGGACAGATTTTGTAAATCATCTAGATGTGGTGAAACTTAAAACTGGTTATGTTTGTAACAGGAAGTTTCAAAGAAATACTCAAATATATTTAATTTGTAGTTTCACAGCTGTAGGCAGTCTGGGATAAATCCTAAGGAGCTGTATGTTTCTCATTGTGCTACCTTTCCTGGTACATCTCCTGGTACTGCTCTGGACTCGAGTTTAACCACTGCTGACAACGCCTTGCTAACAAAACTGTGGATCAAGCAGACATGCAGACAGGGATCCTCAGAACAAACGATTCTTCTGAACTGTGGGTCACTAAAGAATGTAACTTTTGAAGGAAAACTAGAAAAATAACCCAGAAGTTTTTTTGAGGAGCCGTTTCCTGGTCCTTCTCTCCATTTCCCAGGTCTGTGGACTTGTATGCCATGCTAAGTGCAGCATCTCAGAGCTGTTGCTTAACTGTCTGCTGTTGATTCCTTGTGGGAACAGGAGTTGTCAGCTCTCCATCCTTTCCTTCTGTGGCACCAAGTGGAACTGGGTCCTCAGTGGCTTACCTTGCTGTATGTCACTGAAACATTGCATAAAAAAACCCCACTACCTTCTCTAGTGTACCTGACATGGCAAACTGAGATGGGGAATAGGAGCACAGGCCAATCCCAGAAACAAAATCCAGTTCTCTGTAGCTTTTAGCAATACCTTTGGTCTGAGGTCTGATCTTGATGGTCATCAGTGCAAACTGTGCACATTTATGGGGGCATGAGACCAGACAAAATGGGGTGTGAAATTCTTGTTTGTAGATATGCTCCATAGGAATGACTGGACAATGCAGGGATATCTCATCTGGCTGTGAACCAGAAGTGTTTAAGTAGCAACATGGACCAAGGGCTAGTTAACTTCTCACGTATTTGTCCAGCAGCTGGGTTAGTTATACAGGCTGTGCGGAGCTCCTCGCTGTCACAGTTACACAGTCCTCAGCACCAGTTCAAAAATAACTTGGTTGCACCCATGTGAATCGCAGCCCTAGCAGTAACAGCAAGGGTAGGACAGCATTCACATTTAAACATCATCCCCACTGCAGACCCCTGTGAAAAACGTTGTTCATAAGCAGCTGGTGAGAATGTGAGGACTCCACCTTGTTATTTTTCCCCATGTAGAAGGAGCAAAGAGTTTATTTTTCAGCTGGTAGTCTTGCGATTGTAGGCAGGCATCCAGTTATCAAGCTGGGTTTTCCTATCACCTACCCTGTTGGTAAACAAAGCTGTGCATGTCTGACAGTGCCTCTTTTTTTATAACTGTGTTGTTCCAGTGATCTCTGGATATCTCCAGATAATTTAAGGACTAAACCGTGGGTTTCAGACTGGAGAGTGAGGACCTGGGAGAGGAACAGCATAAGCAAATGAGCAGGCTAGCTTATTGATGGTGTTTCAGAAGTTTCTGAGTGGTTCTGTAGAGCTAGACTACCTCTGCTGACAGAGGACCAACCTCAAAAGGTTTGGGAGTGCCTCTGAGATGAGGCTAATGCCATCCCTGATGTCTGCCATCAGACATTACCATTCCCCCATCAACCATCCCAGACAAATGAGACACGGCTTGGTTTGCACAACCTCACACTTTGGCTGCATGAATTGCTTGTTCCTCTGCATTGGACTCTGTCCTGTGCCATGCCTATCACTGCATCAATGGAAAATGCAAGAAATCCCTCGTGAAGTAGAGTTTCCACCTTCTGTCTTCCCAACAAATGTCTTTTCGTAACTCAGCGCTCTCCTTTGCAAGGATTTAAATTCAAGAAGTGTTCTGCTTGAAGTTTTGCAAGGGTTTGGCAAACACAAGAGCCAAGATGTGCTGACTGTTTTCAAACAACACTTGGAATGAGCTGTGATCAAATCCAAATTCCCTCTTCTTCAGTGCAGTTTCTGGTCCTCTATCTGTGAGCTGCCAGTCTCCCTAGTACGCACTTATGAAAAAGCCCTAGTGAGAGGACGGTCAGGGCAAGCATTTGCCTTTTAGCAAAGCCCTGCAGTGCTTTTGCACAAAAACCAAGAGCTTATGGGGACTGGAAACAGTCACTGTGTTTGTGTTGACTGGCCACGGTTTTCGGCTGCTGGGGGTTTCCAAAGCAAATGAAATGTTATTCATCAAAGCAGGCTCCCACCCCTACTTTCAGTTGTTGAAAATACTACAAAGTAAGATGGAAAGAAACATGTAATCCTTCATCATCACAGTGAGGATTTACTTGTTTATTTAGATTCCCTGTCTGTTCCAAATGTTCTGCCAGAGAAAGCCCATCTAGGCTCCAGGAGTGCTTGACACACACACACAAAAATCTAGAGATATATATATAGGAGATAAATCCAGCAGAAGACACCACCTTTCCTGACAGCGCACCAGTGCAGCAATCAGCTGAAAGCCCCACTTGCACAATAAAATATCTTGGGATGCTTTTTATAGGAAAAAAAGGGAAGGAGGCACATCACACTGGGAAGAAATACATTTTGACAGTGGCTTTCTAGATCAGAAACTTTGTGGTGGGGCTGTCCTCGAGCCCCAGGCACCTCCTCTTTTTCTGCTTACAAAGTGTTGCCCAGGTAGAAAATGTGGAACTTGGTGCCTTTGTAGTCAGTGAAATGAGAGAGTTGTGTTCAGGGAGTGATTCCTCCCACTGCCCTCGGGGGTGGAGATCACCCTCTTGAAGGGTGTCTCTCCCTGCGGACATTATAGGGGAAACCGAAAGAGAAGAGCCCAGACCCGAGTCTCACTTTCAGCTCTTAAGAGAAGGCAGCTGAATCCCGTTCCAAGTGACACTGTGCATCAAGAACACAGGTCCTTTGCACTGAAAGTAGTCAACAGCCTTTGTAGCTGGTGTTTCTCATCCCATTCCTATTGCTGCACCTACAAACAGGAGGCAAGTCAGAAACAGGAGACCGTAAACGTGGCGATCACATATAGCTGTGATGAGATAGACCTCTGGGTCATCCTAGAGGAGGTAATAGAGGAAGAACAATTATCCAACAGATGTTTTGCGTTTGGACCATCGTCCGACCTCACAGATTTGAAAACGCTCTGTGAGCTGCTCTTCTACTGGTGCCTCGGGTGCAGCACATTTGAAACCGGTTCCTTTGGGGTTTTTTTGCCTATCTAAGAGCCACAGGCATGAGTAGACATGAAGAGCTTGATGTCCTTACTAGGGGCAATATTGCAATAAGTTAGTAGTGGGTAGAACGGGAGAGGCAGTTTACAGCCAATGACCCCCCCGCAAATTACTTTGGTTAAAGTTATGGGATCTTGAATGCTCCCTGAAAATGCTGAGATGCTACCCTTTAGGGTTTAATCTGAAAGAAGCCCATATAATGAGATATTTAAGACAACCCACTTCTTGAAAAGGCAAAACCAACCAGTTCTGTGCTTTGAAGGTGCTGTCCTTATTTCACCTGTTGACGTAAAGAGCAAAGGGCAGGCTCATGTCAAAACCTGGGGTTTCTGAAGGGCTGCTAAGCTGAATCAAACCTAGAGTTTTCCAAAAGTTACACCTCTTGACCTGAACTCCAGTTTCGTTCCAGAAATAGGGCAACCTTCCTCCATAAATTCGATGTAGCCTCAGTGGACTGGACAGGTCTGTCAAAACAGTTCATAAAAGTGGTATCAATAAGATCTATAATTTTGGGACTTGTCTGAATATAGTAGTGAGAAAGAGGATTTTACTAAAAGGTACAAAAGAAGAATAGCACTTCCAAAAAAAAACATTCTACTCTTGAAGAGCTGTGAGGTGTTTCAACGAACACCTGAATTAACCCTTGCTTTAATAAGTTTTTGTGTAAAGCTCACCTGTTGTTATTTCGTTTCTGCTGTCCCGTCAGCTCATGTGCTCCTCGGTCCAGAAAGCCCTGTTTGAGGAGGAGGACAGAGTGAAGAAGCTGCAGCAGAAAGTGGCGACACTGGAGAAGCGCAACAAGCAGCTGCGAGATCGTGTGAAGAAAGTGAAGAGGTCTCTCCGGCAAGCCAGGAAAAACACCAGGCACATGGAGCAGATGAACCGAAAGCTCAGCGAGAAACTTTCCTCTGCAGGTGGTCAAATCCCCTATATTAATTCTTTGAAGCAGGAGAACTCCCATGCTACCTACCTTAAAGTATAATGCAAGGGTAAGCGCTCAGGCCAATGATAATGGCGAATTTTGCCTGCATTAGACCAGGATCTGGCCCTCGCACCTTGTCTACACCGTGCTTCAAACCTTGCATGGAAAATGAATCTGAACTTGCTTTAGACACAGTGCTAGATTAAACAGGAATGCAAACTGGATTTGGCTGTGTGTTGGAGGCACAGCCCGAAGCCGTGTCCTTGCTGTCCTCAGTGGACAGAAGGCCAGACAGTAACCTGTGCTTCTCCACCCTCACCCCCCTCCACCTCCATCACCAGTTTTAGGTTGTCTTTGATGAAAGTGCCATTTCAGCCCCGTGGAGCTCTTCTTGCCAACTTACCTCCTCCACATGGGCTGGGGAAGCAAGACTAGGGGGATATAGGGAGGTGGATGCTGTGGGAAGGATGCAGGCATGAATGCTCTTTGCTCCATTGTCACCCCCAAACTCTCAACATCCCTTAAGCTTGACTAAAGTCTACATCCAGTGTCTGAGCAAAGGCTAAGGCCAGGACACAGTTAGTTTGGGCCTCTCTTCAAAATGAAGTATAGATGTGCCCAAATTGTCTTAAGACTGTTTCTAAATATCCCCAAATATTCTAAATAAAGTATCCAATATTTTTTATTTTACTAGGAAGTGCCTCAAGCATCTCAGTAACTCCCTCAGATGCCTTTATCATTGCCCAACCAACAGGCTTGGAAACCACGTCATTTTGGGACTGTGTCTAGGACCTAATCCAACTCCTGCAGTCAGGAGTGGACTTAGCCTGACTATTAATGGTCAGGCCCAGCAGACAATTTCAGATCCCGTTTTCAAGCAGGTTTAATTTACAGTGTGGACAAGGCTTCAAGTTTTGTAATCACTGTTTGAGGTATAATGGAGGTTGCTGGGCAGCCTCACTTAGTTACACTTAGATACTGTAGAGACCACATCACTATCAACAGGGCATTAAAAATTAAGGTAGTTTATATATGTATATATTTTAAAATCCTATAGAAGATATTTTTATTACACATTTGATATAGTCTAATTTCTTAAAATATGAAGTAAATCCTGTTTCTTGGTTATCTCATTAAAAAAAAAGTCCATCAAGTCCTTTATTAGACATTTACAAACTGACTTCTGCTCAAGCAGCATAAGTTGAGGCATCAGTATGCGTGGCTGATAACATTTTCAGCTATGTTAATGTACCAGAGCATGCCTCGGGTCTTGGTACTCAACCAACCTTCCTTCATAACAGGGCACCATATGGAGAGAAAGATAGAAGAAGAGTTTTTGTGTTTCTCTTCCCTTGTCAAAATAGTTTTTCTTACTCCAAGCTTGAGACCCAGGAGCAGATATGCTTCATGCTTTTCGACAGGAGCAGCTGGCCCTTGCCCAGCCCCAGGCAACGCTGAGAATCTGGCAGGGCTAAACCCAATTTGTACAAGGTGGACTGACCAGATGATCTTTAACATAGAGGTGAGGCCCTCAGAAATAACAGTGTGCAAACCACCCCTCTGCTCCTAACTCTCCACACTTTAACATATCACTGCATGGTCTCCATGCTCTGTCTCAGCACTCAAAATGAGAGTATATCCAGGCTAAAGCCCTGCTCGACCACGCTTTAACTATCCCTGTGCTAGGAAAAGCCCGTATCAGCTTTCAGTCATGAGCTTCAGTCCAAGCTGAACTCAGATGTTAAGCTTTGTGTTGGCTTTTAGGATGCTGCTGAGTTTAATTACCTTCCAGTTTTGCTCCTTTTGGAAGTAGAGCTTGCTTTTTTTTTTTTTTTTACCCCTCTCTTGAAATAATATTGGCATTTCTTAAGATTCTGACTCCTCCGCAAGCTCCACTGGTTTCAAAGGCTTCGCCTACCGAATCAGCACAATTTGAGTTGTTTTGTGCTGTAGTCAGCAATGCTGTTTCCTGAGAATTACTACAGACCTAAGGCTTCCCTTGAAGCCATCAAGAGATTTTAACTCCAAATTTTAAATCCATAGGAAAGGAACTAATTTTTTTTTTTTGGTTTGTTTCTGGTTTCTAAACTGCTGTTTAAATAAATGAACTGTTTTCCTGGTATAGATATTAAAAGCTTGTGTTTTAATTTTTTCTTAATAAAAATATTCCCTCTGGTATCGTTCATGTTTTATAAATCTTTGTATAAAACTGAGTAAGTATAGTTAATATAGCTACACCTTTGTTATTCTCACAAATTTTCCAAACACAGTGTTGAAAATCTTTTTCTTTTGGCTGATATTTTTGTCTCTTGATGATTGGAATTTTCTTCCTATTTCCCCCTTCTTCTAGCTTAAAAAAAAAGTAAACCATTTTGTTCTCCTTGTCAATTTTGCGAGAATTTTGTTACTTTGCAAATAAAACAAAGACACACACCTCCAAATGCAAAATCCAAATGCAACCCGAAATGTCCCCTCTAGGTAGAAAACCAAAAAAGGTTGTTTCCTTGTGAGTTTTTTTTTTCCTGCTTGGGTTTGGATTGTTTCCAGAGACAAAGGCTAGCAGTCAGATCAGATCACAGGTTAACCCTCTCAACAAGTAACAAGGGATGCCAGGCCCAAATAAAAATGCTATTAAAGCGTCACCATTGATTGCATGTCCCTGCTGATGATGGTATCCAGAGAGTGACCAGGGAGGTTGTACGGGCAGGAAGCACGAGTGGGAAGAGGAATTTGGATTACATCCATGCAGGCTGGCACATGTCACATAGGGCCTGACACATACTCTAATTTTTAGACCCACTCTGTAGCAACATCAGGGACCAGCTAATTTGGAAACCCACAAAAAGGGCAAAATTTCCTGCCATTTTCCAAATTAATGTGAAAGGCATCATTGAGTATGTTCCTCTTGAAGAGCTATGCGGGAGAGGCTGGGGTGCAGACATGCAGAGGAGGTTGGCATAGCAAGATGGGTTGGCAAGGGATGGTACAGAAACCCCCAAAACATCCTGGGAAAACAAACAAACAAAAAGAAAGCAGCAGTGTTCAAATGAGGAAAGCAATGGATTAGAAACAACACCAAACGCGGCAACCCCATGAGAAGCTCAAAGATGCTTTATGAATTAATAACGTCTGCTTTTGCAAACACACCAGGAGCTTGAAGGCTGCCAGAACGTCTGCAGGGCCAGTGCTAGGGGTTCCCAGAGCAGATGAAGCCAGAACCAGAGGCAAGGAGGGGCTTTTCAGCATCTGTGTTCACCGTGGAGGAATTTAGGGATGCTCTTGTGGCTGAATCAATTTTTCCTGATGGATCCAGAGGATGACAAGAAGAACTGAAGGAGCAAAATGAATAATAACAAATTGCAAGACCAGAGAGCAAATGGGTATGAACAGTAACAAAGAGTAGACGTAGCTGAGTGATGCTGAGTGAGCACCTGACAACAAAAATAAATGAAATACAATGTAGGTAATGTAAAAAGATATTGATGGGGGAAAAGAAAAACAATCCTATCTTTTCACATGAAATGGGATATTCTGAGGTGTCATCAGCCAGCTAATATCATTGTATACAATTAGTGGTCAATTAGTCAATCAATTGGATTAATCTAGTATCATGACAATAGAGGTTATGCCATATCATTCTATGAAAACATTGGCTCAACACTTAGCTGGAATCAAAAAGGTAGGTGAAGTGGTAGAAATTATTAGGTAAGGGCTAGAGACCATCATTACACTGCTAAGTATGAGGTATGCCCACTTCTGGGATGCAGTGTAGAGTTATTCCCCATCTCAAAAGAAGTGTCTAATAGGAAATGTATAGTGAGAAGCAACAAGGAAAATCAAAAACTAGAGTAGCTTCATATGACAAGCAACTATATTTTCCAGGACTTTGGGCTGGAGAAGAGAAGAGAGGAGAATGACAGAGGGAAACAGGAGAGGGGAAATCTTGGGGTTGTCCTTTCACCACCATAGCCACCACGTCTGTGTTGTGCTGTTCTAGTCACTGATTAAACTTTTGCAAGGTTTGTGCATCTCATCAGAGCTGAAGTGTATGCTTCAGATGCCGATCTGCACCCAAAAAGCACCTTCTGTCCTTAGACTTTACAATAGGGTTTTCTGGGGTTTTTTTGAAAGTGGATGCTTATAAAGTGCATCAAATAGTTGTATTATTTTCTCTTAAATCCCAAGCACCGTCCTGATTTAACAATCCTACCTGGGTAGCTTGGGAAGAAACACATAGTAAAGGAGGATTTATGGACAGCAGACAATGTTAGCAGCTTGCTTTACTCCTTAACACCAAAACCATTGAGAAGAGAATGACTTCCATATGTTTGAACAATAATTTAGGGAAATAGTCATGTTATTCTGTTTGGGTTTTAGCAGAAGGGGTTTCTGGAACAGCAAAGCAGATCAGTGTTTCAGAGCCATATCGGTAAAGCCCATTTCTAATACACAAAACTTCTCTCCAAGCTGGGTAATCTCTCATTAATGAGGCAAAGGAGCCCAAATTCATTTCTAAAAGTAGAAGAAAAAACATAAAGGGAAAACTGTGGAGAGCAGATAAAACTGACAAGGTATGTCATTCTTTCTTATAATAAATCCAAGTAATTGCAAGGAAATTTCATTTTCCTCCCCATTTAACCCCAATTATTTTCATTTAATCACAGAAACATTGCTATTTCCCTCCAAACCAGACTGCTTTGCGTGTGAAACATTGTTTCCAACAGGCACTTGGGTTTAGGCATATTGCTAATCCCCTAAAACAAGCACAGCAAGCAAGACAGCACATCCCAGCGTACGTGGTGGCACCTGGGAGGGCTCATTGGCTTCATTTGTGTCGGCTGTGGGGGAAAACAGGTCAAGTCATTCCAACAGGGATTTCCCAGGTGGCATCGGAGCCAATGCCTGGGGAGGCAGGCACAACACAGACGTAGTGGGGCAGGAGCCATGCTGCCTTCCCAAGGAATCATCCTTGGGTGGGTCAAGATTTGGTGCAGACGACACCAAGT